CGCTAGTAAATCACGTACAAGGGCTATGCAACTCAAGGAAGAACTCACCTTGATCCAGCGTGGGAATCAATCGATTCCAGACTACTTACATGCTGTAAAAGCTCTCGTCGATGAAATCGTACTCATCGATCATCCGATTTCCGACGATGATATCACCCTTTATGTTCTCAACGGATTGGGACCTGATTTTCGTGAAATAGTTGCTCCCAATCAAAGAGCTTCAACAAATCAAATGGGCAATCAAAGTAGCAATCCTCTTATCGTCCATTCAACGGCAGAGATCAACGCCGACCAAATCAAAACTCAGGAAGATTCAACACAACCCAACGACGCTTCCAGCTAAAGTGCCAGCTCTGTGATCAGTTGGGCCATACTGCCAAAGCCTGTCCACAGTTACAGCAACCAAATCTGTACCTTACATTTTCTTAGGAAACTCACAAACTCACTGCTCTTACGAGACATGGTACTTGGGATTTAGTCCCCCTACCCAAGAATTGTAATCCTATAGGATGTAAGTGGGTGTTTAGAATCAAAAGGAAATCTGATGGTTCAATTGATCGGTTCAAAGCAAGACTTGTGGTAAAGGGATATAATCAACGCCCTGGATTGGATTTTAAAGAAACTTTTAGCCCCGTGGTTAAACCAGCCACAATAAGGTCCGTTTTAAGCATTGTCGTTGTTAATGGATGGAAACTCAGACAAATGGATGTTAACAATGCATTCTTACATAGGAACTTGACTGAAAAAGTGTATATGATGCAACCTCCTGGGTTTAAAGATATCTCAAAAGCTAATCACGTATGTCAGCTGTGAAAAGCTATTTATGGCCTTAAGCAAGCCCCACGGGCTTGGTACTCAGCCTTGAAGAATGCCTTAATTGAGCTTGGTTTTCAGAATTCTATAGCTGATTCTTCATTATTCATTTTTCGACAAGACTCAATTACATGCTATTTCTTAGTGTATGTCGATGATCTTGTTATTACAGGGAATGATAAAAAATTTGTGGCTCATGTTATTGAAAAACTTGGCATTTAGTTCTCCTTAAAGGACTTGGGATTGATTCATTTTTTTCTAGGAGTGGAGGTAATACCAACTTCTGGAGGTCTCTTCTTGTCACAGCACAAATATATTCGTGAACTCTTGCAAACCACGAATATGATTGGAGCAAAGGATGTTTGCACACCTCTCTCCACTACAACATCTCTTCATTTAGTGGATGGCACAGGTGCAATGGACAGCACTGAGTTCAGGAGAGTGATAGACAACTTGCAATATCTATCTTTGACATGCCCCGACATTTCCTTTGCCGTCAACAAGCTGTCACAATTCATGCACAAGCCCACAACATCCCATTGGATAGCCACAAAGAGACTTCTTCGGTATCTAAAAACAACAATCTTTTATGGAATTTAGATTCAAAAATCTACAGCACCACTTCTTACAACCTACAGTGATGCCGACTAGGCTGGAAACATAGATGATCGCGCTTCTACTTCAGCTTATATCACCTTTCTTAGCACCAACCCAATTTCTTGGAGTTCTAAGAAACAAAGAGCGGTTGCACGCTCCACTACAGAGGCTGAATATCGTGCCCTTGCCAATGCAGTGGTTGAAACCATGTGGTTAAAAGCTTTATTTCGGGATCTTGGTTTCCCACGTAAAGACAAACCCTCCATTCTTTGTGATAATCTTGGTGTCACCCATCTAAGTTTTAATCCGGTACAACATTCAAGAATGAAACACGTTCAAATAGATCTCCACTTCGTGTGTGATCTAGTTCGGCAAGGTGAAATTCATGTCCGACATGTACATACACAAAATCAAATGGCTGACTTAATGACCAAGCCTTTGTCAAAGCAACGGACAGAAATTTTAAGAAACAAGATTGGTCTTCTCGACGGAAGCTCAATCTTGCGGGGGCATATAAGAGAAGATGACACAAATCAAAGAATTCAAAAATCATAAAGTCAGCAACTCCATCTATGCAATTAGTTTGGCCAGAATCACTCCATCTATGCATCAATTTGGCCTCGAATCATAAGATTTGTTCTTTGCAATGAGAGTAAATTTAGTTATTTGTAATTGCTGTACATTTCCTTAGGTAGAATTAAATGTCTGTATAAATTAACCAGCAGGATCAATGAAAAGTGTGTGTTCAAAATTCTCATTGAAAGTGCCTTGTGTCTTATTCTCCTATACAATATACTATTATATAATAAAGTTTGGTAATTCTTCTCTCCGATGTCATCCAATCCAACTTATAGTTATATAATGAAGTTTCAATAAAATAATTTATACAAGCACATTTGTATTGAATTAAACTTTATTAAATCATGATAATTGTTCGATGCAATTTATCACGTGCCTTCTTGAATACCTTCTTTTCTTTCAACACTTTACAAACCAAAGGCCAAACCTAGATGATCAATTAAGCCCCCGTTTGGTCCCATTAAAACTCTTCGATTTAATTTAAAATTTTCTTTTTCCTATTTTCAATCGCACAATTTTCAATAAAATAATATTACACGCAAATCGAAATTTTTTCATTTTTTAACAACCATCCATTTAAAAATAATAATAATAAATAATGGGTGCTAAACGAGAGCTAAATGTCCTAGAAACATTGAAAGTTATATTGTCGAAATCAATTAAGAGCATAATAAAAACTGTATGAACATTGGGAAAACTTGACAAGTTTGTACTATATAATTTGGTACTATGTTGACAAGTAGGAAATTTTTGTTTTATTGTATCTCACATAGTACCATAGGAAAAACTTGTGTGACAATTTATGTTGCAAGAGCAATCTCTAGTGACAAATTTAGTTTTGAGTTTGGACACGAGCTACAATACAAATATACATGGATTTATTTTTTAAATAAAATAAAAAACTAAGAATAAAGTATATATTTTTAGGGATAGACATGGATTATAGCACGATCGAGCTTGTGCTTGTATCTGCCCCAAACAATCTCTATCGACCCAATCCATTAATTTATATCTAAACTATATTTGAATATCTAGTAGGCAATAAATATAGCAATGAATGAGATGAAGTGTCACGGCTCATTCTCTTTCAGATCGTTTTGCTTCGAAACTTCGTTTAATGCTGCTACTCCTAGATATTGAATTTTTAAATACATACGATAGTTAAGATGTCAAAATAAAAGTGTTATATAGATGACTCTAAATTTATCCAAAAGAAAAAAAGAAAATATTGGAACATTTTTTTTTTCTTTTATGCTTCGATCCTAACTTAAATATGATTAAGTCATTAAGTGGCCGAATTACTTGATTACTTGTCGACCAAGTTAATTGTGATAATTAGATGATTATATTAGAATTTTCAAGTATTATTGAACTCCTTGAAATTGCAAAATTTCACTTGGGAGCAGGGATATTATTGTTCTCTTTCCAATTATATTTACTTAGCCCTTGTTTGATTTTCATTAAATTACATTACATTACATTCTACTTTTTCTCTCTCCTATTTTCAACCACACAATCTTCCATAAAATAATATTACACGTAAATCGAAAATTTTTCTTTCTTTTTCAACCACTCATTTTTTAAAAAACACTATTCTATACATTAAATTTTCCCCGTAATGGAGGCCAAACAGGGGCTTAATTTAGTCAAATTTTGATAAGAATAAATCAATATTGTTGTCACGTGCAAAGAAGAAAATCATTTTGTTTCTTACGATGATATTTGTATGGCTGTTTTCTTTTGCTTGAAGCTCAAGCTTTCAACTCTTTGACTTCTTTTAGATATTTGTCTATAATATATTTATATATCAAAATTATACATGGAAAAGATTATTTTCCATTTTGTCCTTGAAATAATAATATTTTAATAAATAAAGTTGTTGTATACATAGTGATAAATATATTTTATAAATGATCATTTATAAGACTTGAAGCATCTAATTTAAAACTGAAAATGACAGACATCCATAACACATCCTTTTAACTTAGTCGCGTGCAATGTTCAATTTTCGTTCCAAACATGACATAATAATAAGTACATTTTAAACAAAACATTAAAATATATTATTTACCAACTTGGTTGACAAGCAAAATTAACTACCAAGCATTTGCGAATAGGTTATGACAAAATATATTTACTTAGCCCTTGTTTGAGCCCCATTTTTGTGAAGAAAATGAATTTTTGAATAGTGTATTGATGGGAAATGTGTGGTTAAAAAATAAGGAATTTTTTTTATTTGCGTATAATATTATTTTATTGAAAAATGTGTAGTTGAAATGATGTCAAATCACTGTTGAAGAATGTATTTTGGTTGAAAAATGGGGCTCAAACAAGGGCTATGTTAAATATTGTAAAACTTGGAGGATAATCAAATAATGAGGACCACAAGATTTTCCCACTATGCCACGTGTAAAATCAAAGCATTACATAAAAATGAGGCGAGCAGTTAGGTATTTTTATAATTTCTAATTTTGGTATGAATGAAATTTCAGATTTTAATTTAAATCAAAATCAAAAATTAATTTTAATCATATATTTCATAGGATTCATAATTTTTCAACTACCATTTCATCAACTTTTATCAAAATCCACTAAAAATTTAATTTTAATCTTAGTCAAACAAGGACTTAACAAGTTCCTTTAATTTTCCAATAAATAGCGTACTTTGAAATCAAATCAAATATTTACACAATAATACTTTGAGCAATAGAAAAAAGGAAGAACCAAATAGTATATAAAAACTGAACCCATTTTGACAAGAATCGGCTTTAAAGTTTTTGTAGTTGAACAGATTAACCAAATTGAAATAAAAGTAAAGTAAATGCATCTGTAGACAACAAGTTACTTTACTTTTATTGAACTTATGTTGTGACACTATAACTCTCATCCTTTGTCGAGATTAAATAAAACCCACAAGGAAAATTTAAAATTAATAATAAAAAAATGAAAAAATCCAACTCCTTTATATATGTGATTCTTCTCATTTGAATATGCGTTCACTCCAACCCCACTCTATACCCCTCTCATTTCTCCCGAAGAACATTTACTTATTTTTATTCGTAAGAGGTAAAAGATCGGTTACTTTTTTTGAAGAGAGGACTTTTTCTCTCCCATTTTTACGGTAACTCTCACTCAAATTTTTACTCCACTTATTAACTGCTTTGAATTGAATATTCTCCTCTTTTCTCTATCATTTCCAGTCCAACTATTCTTGATGTAAAAAATCAAGAGAAATCTTTCAAGAAAATGAATCCCACAATCAAAAAAACTATTACTACCAAGATAATTGAATCGCCGTCATTGATAAACAAATTGAGCTCACGAGTGGTGCGCATTTCTGTTATGGATTGTGATGCAACTGATTCATCGAGCGATGAAAAGGAGGGATTGGATACGAATATGAATATTCAGAGAGTGAAAAAGCATGTGAATGAGATTAGAATGGAGAGGAAATGTGTTCAGGCAAAGAAAAGTGTAAATGGGAAGACTAAGAATGTGAAGAAAAAAAGGGCGCCACCGCCGCCGGCACCAGTGGCAGGAGTTGAGGGAAATGGGAAGAAATTCCGGGGTGTTAGGCAGCGGCCGTGGGGGAAATGGGCGGCAGAGATACGTGATCCAGAACGGAAGACTCGTGTCTGGCTGGGGACTTACGACACGGCGGAGGAAGCCGCAATGGTTTACGACAGGGCGGCGATTCAAATACGCGGTCCAGATGCTATAACTAACTTTATCAAGCCGCCAGAGAGGGTGGTGGTGCTGGCGTTGGAGGCTAATGTAACGTCAGTTTCGGGTTATGATTCTTGCAAGGATGAGTCTTGCGAGAACCTTTCCTCTCCCACCTCAGTTTTAAATAGTAACGGTGGCATTGTCCGGTCCGAGTTAAAAAAAACTGACGAGAGACAAAAGATTTTTATTGAAGATAGGAAGCTGGTTGGATCGACCGTTATGGTGCAAAATGAAGTCGATTTGTTAATGGACGATTCGTTGCCATTGGATCAATGTTTCTTGACGGAATATTTCGATTTTCAGTCTCCTTCACCATTAGTTTTCGACGAAATTAATGTTGCAAAAACAGAATTGGATGAAGATCCAAATGATGTTTCAATTGATTTGGATGCAGATTTTAGGTCTCCTACATGGGATGTGAATGATTTCTTTGAAGATCAATTTTTTGGTGAATTAGAGAATTCATTTGGTGCTGCTTTTGATGCCTAATTTTGGAAAGTGTTGGTGGTTATATTCTTGTTTTGGTATCATCTTAGCTATGTAAATTTCTATTGCAGCAAGTCTATGGAAAATTCTATAAATATTTATTATTCGGATTTCTTACTTTCCTTGCAATTTGTCCCCCTTTTTTTTTTTTTGATAACCCAGGTGTCCCAACTTAGCCGGACTAAATCCTGGACCTCTAGCCCCCGACCCCTCAGTGACTAGTGGAGGTAAATCGCAGGTTGTGCCCTTGTTGGTTCCCAGGTTCCCACATGACTTTTACTCCTTCCCCAAAGGGACCCTCCTCCATGGTTATTATATCACCAAGCTGCTCCAACCCTTCCTCTGGTTATTACATCACTTGGCTGCTCCAACCAGGAATCGAACTCCCCACACTTGGTTCCAGAGCCCCCCAATGTGATTATTCCACCAACTTGGATGTGCCCTGGGGGGCG